AAAAGGGAGAAGGCAGCCCCAGAAATGCTGGGAAAGCTCAGGGCATGCAATCACAAACTGCTGGACTTGGCGCCTGCAAGTGTGGGTAGAAACTGGGGGACACTCGTCCCTGGATCCTTTGGAACCTTCTGGAATCCTGGCGTGCCCTGGTGGGGATAACCTTAGAGTCTCAGGGCACCAACAGAGGTGGATTCACTTGAAGACCAAGACCCCCAACAGCAGAGGTGGGGGAAAAGATGAGCGTACCATGGAATACTTCCTCCCTGGCGCCCTGCTCCCCAAAACTCACACATCAGATAATTGAAGATGCCTGGGCCAGTGGGGTTCCCCGGCAGGAAGCTGCCTGGCACCAGGGAAAGCAGAACTACAGGGTCGGTGCAAAATTGCCTGACCCGGAGCCTGAAACCTGGCTTCCCTGCAGTTTCGCCAGCCACAGACTGCTCGTTTTATTTTATGTGCAGCACAGCATTTGGGAATCTTAGTTCCCCCACCAAGGATCAAACCCGTGCCTCCTGTGTTGGGAACTCAGAGCCCTAACCACTGGGCAGTCAGAGAAGTCCCAACCCACTACCCTAGAGCGGTTGGTGGTGCCCACCTTCTCCAGCAGGGTTTTCCGGTCCTAAGAAAGCCTGTGGACCCATCCCTCTCTCTTACGGTTCCTTCATATCCTTGTCCTGATCAGCCCTCAGCTTAGAGGACTGTATTTGCTGGGCAGGGAAGGCAGGGGAGGGGAGGGTGGGGGCTTGGGGGCAAGTAATTCTGCATCTCTTAATTCGCTGCAAGATGCAGGAGGTATACCTGACTCCAGGCTCGTGGACCCTGGAGGCTCCTCTAGTCCCTAGCAGTCTCCCTCTGGGCTCTGCTCTGGGGGCTTATTACCTCCTGGGGGTTGGGGGGAAAGAATGAAGGGGTGATGGAAGCAGCCTGCCTGGGGGAATGCAGCACCCCGAAGCAGAGGTCAAGGTACCAGGACTGGTCTGCAGCTCTTGTCAGCTGTGTGACCCAATCTGGACAGGTTACTGGTGCTCACCAACACTGTAAACAAGAATGATAATAATAACTTACCTGCTTGAAACGTTATGAGGATTAAGTGAGAAGACGGACCTGAAGTGCTTAAATAGTGCAGCTTCAGGTAGCATTCCACAACCATCAGCTATGATAGTAAAGGTCATTGTTGCGGCCTGGACTCCTCGGAAGAACTGGATGCATTAACTGACAATTTACTCAACCCAAGCTCCCATGTCTCCAGTGTCCTACATTGCGTTTCAAAGAAAGACTGGTGGGAGGGGGGACTGGGATGGGGAATACCTGTAAATCCATGGCTAATTCATTTCAATGTATAATAAAAACTACTGTAATGATGTAAAAAAAAAAGAAAGAAAGAAAAAAGAAAGACTGATTCCCAATAATAAAAAGTGAAAAGATATTTCTTCCCATGTTATCACCACCCCAGTATGAAGAAATCCAAATGGAAAAATTGCCCACCTCCTACTATTCCTAACAAATCATTATTCTCAGTCTTTCATATTACTCCTGGCTAATATGCATGGAATTTTGTATTCTTACTATATAAATATTTCCCTGGTTGCATGTAAGTGTACTACCTGATATTATAATGATCATTTTAATGAGTACATAATATTCCACTAAGTTGATAAGTTGATATTATTGCTTCACTATATTCTTATTGTTCAGCTCTTAAGATTTCACAAACTTTCATTAGTAATGCTGCTATGTAATCTTTGTTAATAAAACTTTTAAAGTAAAAGTTTAAAATAACTTATTTTAGGAAGTTCCCTGGTGGGCTAGTAGGGCTTCGCAGGTGGCTCAGTGGTAAAGAATCTGACTACCAACGTAGGAGATGCAGGAGACACAGGTTCGATCCCTGGGTTGGGAAGATCCCCTGCAGTAGGAAACGGCAACCCACTCCAGGATTCTTGTCTGGGAAATCCCATGGACAGAGGAACCTCGCAGGCTGCAGTCCATGGGGTTGCAAAGAGTCAGACACGACCAAAGCATGCATGCCCATACTCTATGCACTGGTGGGCTAGTGGTTAGGATTCCATACTTTCACTGACATGGCCCAAGTTCAATCCCTGGTAGGGGAAACTGAGGTCCTGAAAACCAGGTGGAGCAGCCAAAAATAATCATTATTATTATTATTTTAATATTTTCTTTTAAAGCTTATTTCTCCGAAAGTTATGCAAATCCAATCACCAAGACTCACCTCCTATATAAATTTTTTTAAAGTAGTGTTTCATATAAAAGTTAAAATACACAAATATGAATGTTATTTGTAATCCCATCAGTCAGAGATGCCTTAGAAGCATATCCTTCCAAACTTTTATGAATATAAATATATATTGATATATAACCTGAAAGTCATTAGGATTATTTTATTAGGCTCAGGAGGTTGGGGAGAGCCTGGATGAATACATTCTAGCTTTATGCTTTGAGGATGATTAAAAACACAACCCACAGGCACTAAGGGTTTTTCTGGAGATCTTCTGGCATTCAGATTAGAAGCCCTTAGAACCTGGGACATAGGAATCTTCAAAAGACCTGAGAGAATAATCATCATCTGTAGACAAACACCGACTCAAGATAAATTCACCTTTAAGCACCAGGAAACCAAAGGAGATGACCCCACTTGCTCTATGAACTTGCTTGCAATCCTGCTCACTTACGAGACCTCTAGACAGAATCTCTGCTTCCTCTCACAAGAATTACAATTTAGGGGAAAGGAACTATTTATTTTCCAGGCAGGAGCCGCCCCCCCAGCCTTTACAAATAGGTTTGGGGATCTTAAGCCCAACCCCACGAGGCTGTTCACTTTGTCTGCACTCCCTGTGAGAACAATCTTCAGGGAATTCAAAGAAGCTAAAAATGGACTTGCCTAAATCCTTGTGCTGTCACACTCATAGTTTAGTACAGTGAAAGGATACAGACTGAAATTAGCAAAGGAAAAAGGTAGATAGGATGGAATCCAGGAGATACCAGGCAGAAGCTTCCAGTTTCCTGTCCAACTCTCCTGTTCCAGTTGCACAGACAGTGCTCAATTCGCGCAGCACCAACATGTGACAGTATGTGTGAGGTGTTGCCAGTGAGGCACACCAAGACTTCGGTATCCCCAGTTTTTATGGGAGGCTAAATCACGTGGGCAGGCAGGGCCTGTACAACTGACCTTAACTCCTCAGTCTGCAGCCCCAGACTCACAACTGGCACAGAATGATCCAAGGGCTTCATCACACAAAGCCACTCTTGTCAGGCAGGAAACTCTAAGAGCTCAGACTTCATTTCTCAGCCATTGGTCAAGGGCCATTCCTGAAGTCTCTTAGAATATATGAAGTTTGGGCACTTAAGTCCTGCTGGGTTAACCTTTCCCTGAGACTTACTTATCTGCATGTCACCTTTTATGATTAGCTCCATTTTTAACACGTGAGTTTTTTTTCCCCAGCTGGGGTGGAGGGTGTCATAAGAGCATCAGCAGTGTCATACCTGCTGGGGGTTTGCAGAGTTCTATGTATTAACAGACTCCCAGTAGTCACTTTAGTGGCCACAGTGCATTGGGTGGCAAAGAGTCAGACACGACAGAAGTGACTTCACATGCCTACATGCAAGGCTTATCCTCCAACAAGATTGTAAACTTCCAGAGGAAATGAACTGGACTGTGTCTGCTTTTTACATAGCTTTTGATGCCTGGATGCTATGGTCTGCATATTTGTATCCCATCAAAATGCATATGCTGGGACATCTCTGGTGGTCCAGTGGTTAAGAATCTGTGGGCCAATGCATGGGACAAAGTTTTGATTCCTGGTCCAGGAAGATTCCACATGCCACAGAGCAACTAAGCCCCATGTGCCACAACTACTGAGCCTGTGTTCTAGAGTCTGTGCTCCACAACAAGAGAAGCCATTGCAATGAGAAGCCTGGGGACCACAGCTAGAGAGTAGCCCCTGTTCACTGCAACTTGAGAAAGCCCATGTGCAGCCAAAAAAAAAAAAAAGCATATGTTGGAACCTAATCTCTGATGTGAAGGCAATGGCTCCTACTCCAGTACTCTTGCCTGGAGAATCCCATGGACGGAGGAGCCTAGTGGGCTGCAGTCCATGGGGTCACTAAGAATCGGACACAACTGAGTGACTTCACGTTCACTTTTCACTTTCATGCATTGGAGAAGGAAATGGCAACCCACTCCAGTGTTCTTGCCTGGAGAATCCCAGGGACGGGGGAGCCTGGTGGGCTGACCTATAGGGGCGCACACAGTCAGACACCACTGAAGCGACTTAGCAGCAGCAGCAGCAATGTCCGATGTGATGGTATTGGAATGTCATTAGGTCACGAAGGTGGGGCCCTCACGAATGGGGTTAGTGCCCTCATAAAAGAGGCCCCAGGGATCCCTCACTCCTCCTGCCATGTGAGGTTGCAGCCAGAGGTGCTGCTTATGAACCAGGAGATAGACTTTCACAAGGCACCAAATCTGTTGGTAACTTGATCCTGGACTTCTCGGCTTCCAGAAATCTAAGAATCTTAGTGAATTTCTGTTGTTTATAAGACACCCAGTCTATGATATTTTGTTACAACAGCCCAAATGGACTAAAAGACACCAGATTAGGCCTCAATATGGTATGGGAAAGTCACTCAGTCATGTCCAACTCTTTGCAACCCCGTGGACTATACATGTCCTTGGAATTCTCCAGACCAGAATACTGGAGTGGGTAGCCTTTCCCTTCTCCAGGGGATCTTCCCAACCCAGGGATCAAACCCAGGTCTCCCGCATTGCAGATTCTTTACCAACTGAGCTACAAGGGAAGCCCAATATATGGTATGGTAGGTGCTCAACAAATATGAGATGGTTAATGAATGCAAACATTCCCTTCATCTCTGGGTCTTTTTTACTCCTCTTTGCTGAGGCCAGGCCAATGCTTTATAGCTAGATGGGGAGAGAGAGAGTGGTCTGCAGAGAAATGAATTGTAGAAATGAATAATCAGCACAGGACTTTTGTAAAGACTAAAGCTTTTATTCCAATAAGGGGTCATTTACTTTCAGAAGCTATTTCTCTGAGTCCTTTGTGAAGCAGACAGCCTCATTGATGCTCGCAGTGATGTAATCTATGTTGTAGGAATTGATACAGGTGAAGTTGATCCGACCATTCTTGGGGATATAGATATGCTTTTTACTGATCAGGTATTCCACCTGTTGGGCTGGTGACAACCATGGCATCTCAGATCCTAGGGTGGTCCCATCCTGCTCCCCTCTAGCCCAGGGTGAATTATGGATGGTAGGAAGTGTCAGCATTTCTGGGGAGCCACAAGAGTCCCAAAGCAGCTCCACTTTCCTCAGGAAAGAATCAAAGTCTGAGGTGAAGCTAGCGACGGGTTACCTGGTCCATGAAGATTATGCTCAAATACAAGCCCAAATCCAAGGTCAGAAACGAGAGAGCTGTCCCTTCCTAGGTACTTACAGTTGAGTCCAAGATAGCTATGGGTCCCTTTCTGCTCAGTGATGTGATCCCAGGAGCCAGGGGTTCCTAGAAGCCGGAGCTTCTCCTTCACCTTTTCCTTGGTCATCATGATGTTCTCTACAACCCCTTCCAGGCTCTGTCGCCTGCCAAGGGAAGGACAGCAATAAGTGGACAGCATAAGGTCTCCCCTCGCTCTCGACCTCTTCATTGCCTTTCCCCTCTTTTCCCTTCACAAGTAAGCATCCATCTGGGATGGTTATAAATGGGAGGGGGTTTTAGCCCATATTAATGTAAGCAAGGGAAGCAGACTCTCTGGCCAACTTTGCCAGAGAAGCAGGTCTTTGGTGCTTCCTCATCTCCTCTTGCAAACTGAGAGCGTTCAAACAATTCAATAATAAGCCGACCTGTGCCCCCAAAGAGCATCCTGTTACCCACTCCCCCAAGGCTGGGCAACCCTCAGCACTGCCACTGGGTCACTGGGGCCCCTCAGTAAAAGAGGCAACGTGGGCAGGAAGGGAAGCGGCCATGGCATCCTGTGAGTCGGTGGGTCTGTGGGCATGCAGAGCCTCTGCCCACCCGTCCTGCCACCCCACCCCCCCTGCCCTTACCATTCTCCCTGCATAGCAGGGTTACAGAGGACGGAGGTGATGATTCGGGCGCCCGTGGTGGGAGGGTTTAGCCACAGGGCCCGCGCGAAGTTCGTCAGCTGGGAAAGGACACGCAGCAGGAGCTGGTTGTTGAGTGCCACCACCACGAGGGTACCCACTCCTTCGTCTGCAGCGATGGGACAGACGGCCTGTCTCAGAGCCCCCACCGTTCCCGGGCGGTACCCTCAGTCTCTGCCTCCAGCTTTGCAGAGGGGAGGGCTGGATGACAGGGCCCTCCGCCCAGCCTCACCAAGGCCCCATCCAGGCCCCAAGCAGTCAGCGCAGGTTCTTCTTGCCGAGAAAAGTAGCTGCAAGTAAGAGTCTTAAAGGTGGAAGGCAGCCCCTCCCAGTGGTCTAGTGGTTTAAGAATCCGCCTGCCAATGCAGGGGACATGGGTTCAATCCCTGGTCCAGGAAGATTCCACATGCCACGGAGCAACTAAGCCCGTGCACCCCAACTACTGAGCTTGGACTCTAAAGCCCGGGAGCCACAGCTACTGAGCCCCTGTGCCCGACAGCCGATGCTCTGCAACAAGTGAAACCACCGCAGTGAGAAGCCCGTGTACTGCAACTAGAGGAAGCCCAAGAACAGCAGCAAAGACCCAGCACAGCCAAAAATAAATAGATTGCAAAGTTTTTTTTTTTTTAAGGTAAAAGGGACTTGAAAGATCGCTAAGTCCCACCCCCTCATCTTCCAGGTGAAGAAACAGAAGCCTAAGGGGTGTGAGATGATTTAACCAGAGACAGCTTTAGCGACTGAGCTGAGACCGCACCACAGACCCTAACGTGTAGCTCAGTGCCCTTCCCTTCTTCCTCCAAGGTGCCCTGGGGTGCTCCGGGGCTCCGGGCTCTCTCCAGAGGGTAGGAGACGTCAAAGGTGTTCTGTGCCCCAGGTGTGGCGCCAACAGGCCCTCCCGCTCCCCCTGCCCACAATGTACCATAAATGCCAAAATTCTTGGATAGAGACTGGCTGCAGAAGAACTCGAAGCCTTGAGACACAAAGTACTGTAAGAATATAGCGTCTTCCTCCAGGTCACCGGTGGATAAACCTTGATAGGGAATGTCAAAAAATGGAAATATCTCTTTGCTCTGTAAGAGAAAAAGAGAATGAGAAGGGGGAGGGACTCCCGGAGGCATGGGAGGTGCCAAGATGGAGGAGCGCCGGGCAAGAGGTGGGCTCACCTTCATCAGGGTCATCAACTGTGTCCACTGAATCGAGGTCAGCCTACAGTTGCCGATACTCCCGATCACAAAGATGCAGCCGTGAGGGGCATGCTGCAGGGAAAGACTGTCCTGTCGGGCGCCTCCCTGACCACACAGGTCATGACAGGGGGACGCTGGGAGGAGAAGCCATCCTCCACGTGGGTTCCTACTAAAGGGCTGTGAATCTGAGCCTATAAAAGGTCTTGGATGACCGGAGTCGGGGTAGAGGGGGGGCGGTTAGGAGAAAAGGGAAGCTGTAAACCAGGTCTGGGGAGAAGCTGCTGAGAGCGGGGGAACCTCTACCTCCACCACATCGAGGAGCATGTTGGGGTCCAAGCACAGATGTGCGGAGTCCCAGAAGGTGTGCTCATAAACTGTAAAGCCCATGTCCTGGAAGATGAGTCCATGCGGTTCTGTGGGAACACAGCGCCCCCCGCCACCAGCTGGCACGTGAGAAGTGGAGAGATGGGAGGCAGAGACACCAGAGAACGGGTCCGGGGGCAGGGGAAGGGGGATTAGTCTCCGAAGGGAGGACAGGAACAGGAAAAGGACAAGAATACCTTGGCCCGTCCACCGTTTAACTCAGGACAGAGTAAGAAGGATAGCAGTGAAGATAGCAGGTGGGGTGGGAGTCAAGAACAGGGCGAGGGGCGTGGGGCCAGAGTCTGCCACTCACCTTTTTGAGAAGAAACGATGTAAACTATCTGAGAATTCTGACACCAAGTTTTGAGGAACTGAGCCCCGAGTTGGAAAGCGCCGCTGTCCCCCACGGTTTGCACACCCCCTGCCTGCCAGCAAAAAAAAGGTGCTGGTGTCTCCCAATGTTGGGGAAGGAGGACCACTTGCTCCAGGAGGTCAAGGCCACATGCTCCCACACATGCACCTCCACTGACTCATCCAGCGGGGTTTACCGAGTGCCTACTAGGTGCCAGACACTGTGGTGGGCATCTGGGATACATAAGGGAATAAGATGAACCCCCTCCACCCCTCGTGGCGCTCACGTTCACACCAGGCCTGGGCAGCCTTTGTCTGCAAAGGACCAACCAGCTGCTTAAATGGCAACCCGCACTCCAGTATTCTTGCCTGGAGAATTCCATGGACAAAGGAGCCTGGCGGGATACAGTCCATGGGGTTCCAAAGAGTTGGACACGACTGAGCGACGATCACTTGATCGCTCGTTCACTCAGGTCATATAACTACTCAACACTGCCGTTAAAGCAGAAGGCAGCTCTTGACAAGACAAGTAAATGATCATGGCCATGTTTCAATAACATTTTTCTGGACACTGAAATTTGAATTTCATGTCATTTTCATACATCCCCAAAATATCATTGCTCTTTAATTTTTCAACCATTAAAAATCATAAAAACATTAAAAAAAAAAAAAGAGTGATGGTGATACCAGCACCACTTCAGGTTCGGATCATTCCCTTCTGGAAAGAGCTGTCACGCCAGCAGTGGGACTGGTGTGGAGACCTCTGGCTTTGGGTCTTGATCCTGGCCCCATCCTCCAATGACTGATCTTGGGACTGTCTGAACCTCGCGGGTCCCCTCTAAACTCTTCACTTTTGCGATTGTACAATCCCAGGCTCCCAGTCTCTACTCCTCATGTCTCGGTGAGCGAGGGAAGGGCCCTGCTTCTCACCCTGTTCTCCACAATGACTTGGCTGTTCTTTCCAAAGAGGAGGTTCAGGGAAGCCTGGATGAATGATTTCATGCCCATCACCGGCGTGTACTCATAGTTCAGGGAGGGATCTTGGGCAATCTGCATTCGAGTCTTGCGCACCACGGAGGACACCCAGGGTCTGCCTTCGCTGGTCATGCAGACTGTGAGGGGAAGGGCAGAGGGGTCTCTGGAGGCCCACCGCGGTGCCTGCAAGCTTGTGGGCTCTGCAGACAGCCCACGAATCTGTCCTGGTTCTCTTGGGGCTTTGGGAAGTTGCCTAGGAAAAGACAACTTTCCTTTTCTTCCCCCGACCCCTTTATAAAAAATGATGTGTTGTTAGTGGGTATGTCTAATTTTCATCTTTTTGAAAAAGACAACAGAAACCTATGCCATTTTAAAGGGCGAAAATGATAGACAATGGGAGAGTTTGTCCCTGATGGCTCAGATGGTGAAGAATCTGCCTGCAATGCAGGAGACCCAGGTTCGATCCCTGGGTCGAGAAGATCCCCTGGAGAAAGAAATGGCAACTCACTTCAGTACTCTTGCCTGGAAAATCCCACCGACAGAGGAGCCTGGTGGGCTATAGTCCATGGGGTCGCAAAGAGTCAGACATGACCGAGTGACTAACGCTTTCACTTTTCATCTGGGACTGAACAAAGGTCACACTGACTTTCACCGTGGCAAGGGCTGGCTGCATCCCAGAACAGTTTAGGAGCCATTCTTGGTTCAGGAGCGGAGGAGGGAGAAGGGGAGAGTGAACAGGCTGTAGGCAACTCAGGGTCCTCATAGGCTCCAGCACAGAGTTGGGGGAAAGCATACATGTGTGCGAGTGTGCTAAGTTGCTTCAGTTGTGTCCAACTTTTTGGGACCCTGTGGACAGTAGCCGACCAGGCTCCTTTGTCCATGGGATGCTCCAAGCAAGAATACTGGAGTGGGTTGCCATGCCCTTCTCCAAGAGATCTTCCCAACCCAAGGATCGAATCCCAGTCACTGATGTCTCCTGCATTGGCAGGTGGGTTTTTTGGCACCACCTGGGAAGCCCGGGAGAGGATACAGCCCTTATCAAATGCCAGGAACCCACGGAGAAGGGCAGAGGGCCCAGACCCACCCACGAGATTTTCTGCTCCTTTCCCCACTGGGCAATTCTGCTCACAGGAAGAGACCTCTCTGTCTAGGGAGGTTTGTGCTCTCTCGACCCCTCTGTGGCAGTGGGAACACTGCCCTCCTAGAGGCAGTCATGGTACCCGGCATCTCACACCCCCAAACGATGAGGCTTCTACCTTTATAGGCCAGGAACATCTTGTTCGGGTCGTCATCTTGCTTGTAGGCCTTGAGCAAGCTGCCCTCTAGCTTCTGGGCCATGGGCACATCTGTGAACACAGACAGAGTAGGCATCGCTGAGGGAAAATAGAACCAGGACTGCGCTTCTGCTCCTGCGTTCTTCTCCTGAAGGCTTCTTCCCGCAGCCAGCCTCCAAGTCTGGGCCACAGATCTGCCTCTTACCAGAACCTTGGCGGCAACCGGTCACCAGAGCAACAGAACCCCATCACTCACTGTGTCCATGGTGGCCCTCCTAAAGGGCTATGGGAGTATTCCAAGACGCCTGGGGAGGACTCTCTGAGAGATGGGGCAGGAGGAGGTCACAGCGGGGACCTAGAATTCCCAGGCGCTTCTCCCTAACTCACTGCCTCCTCTAGTCACCTAATCCACCAATATTTTTTTTTTCTTTTGGCTGCACAGAATGTGGGATCTTAGTTTCCTGACCAGGGATTGAACCAGTGACCCCTGAAGTGGAAGCACAGCGTCTTAACCACTGGACCGCCCATCTAAAATAACAGATCAGCCCCTTAGAAGACACAGCAACACAGCCAGCCATGAGCCCAGAGAGGGCTTCTGCAGACGTGAAACCTCAGCAGTAATGTGAGTCGAGGGACACATTTAAAAAGTTTCTACTTTCATTTTACTCAGGGGTCCAGGTGTTTAAAAGAAAAGAAAAACAACACTGCTTTCTTCCACAATTATTTTCAAGAGTCCTATTTCTAGAAAGAGTGTAATTTGCCATTCCTGTTGTTGTCTTAGTCACTCAGTCCTGTCCGACTCTTTGCGACCCCATGGACTGTACCCCACCAGGCTCTTCTGTCCATGGGATTCTCCAGGCAAGAAGACTGGAGTGGGTTGCCGTTTCCTCCTCCAGGGATCTTCCCGACCCAGGGATTGAATCTGAGGCTGCGCTGCAGGTGGATTCTTTACCACTAAGTCACCGGGGAAGCCCATTAAGACAATCCTATTTCTCTGTTATTTACAGTGAAGAATTCAATTGCTAACTCTCAGTGGTGGCCCAGCAGCAAGTTTAGAAGGCAGAGATCAAAGACAGAAAGCCTTGGCCTCTGTAGGATGTCTTACATTTTTTTTTCCAAGTGACTCTGTGACTGTTGCAAATGTAGTTGGTGTCTCACCCAGATACCTTTACCAGCCCTGCTGGTGGACAAGGCTTTTCTTTCTCACCTACCTTCCAGATTGTTCCTGACAACAGGAAACCACCCGGCAGGTTACACTCCCATCAGCAGGGACAGCCAATGACTACCTGATCTTGGTAAACAAAAAGCCAGCCGTGGGACTTCCCTGGCGGTCCAGTGGTTAATACTCCGAGTTTCCACTGCAGCGGGCACCAGTTAGATCCCTGGTGGAGGATTTAAGATTCCTACATGCCTCAGTGTATCCAAAAAGATTTTTTTTAATTTAAAAAGTCAGTCCTCTTGACTTGCGGGATGCATGTGGCTCATTTTGCACTGCAGGGCCCATCCCCCAATCAGGCCACGCCTAGACTTGGCCCAGGGCCCCTTGTGTGGCACCCCCTCCTCTTTACAATCCTGTTTCTTTCGCTTCCTTGTGAGTTCCTCCTCCAGGGCACGCCCTCTGCAAACCACGTGCCCCAAATCCCTGTCTCAGCCTGTGTTTCCAGGGAACCTGCCTGGAGACAAATGATTGTGCAAGTTATCCCTGCTACTGCAGAAACCTTTGGGAGCATTTATTTATTTTTGGCTGTGCTGGGTCTTCGTTGCTGTGCTTGGGCTTCCTCGTGTGGTGAGCCGGGCTACTCTCGAGTTGTGGTTTGTGAGCTTCTCATTGAGGTGGCTTCTCCTGTTGCAGCCCACAGGCTCGAGGGCACGCGGGCTTCACTATTTGCATCACACAGGCTTAGCAGTTGTGGCTCCAGGGCTCTAGAGCATGGGCTCAGTAGTTGTGGCGCACGGGCTGAGTGGCCTCTCGGCACACGGAATCTTCCTGGACCAAGGATTGAGCCCGTGTCCCCTGCATTGGCAGACAGATTCTTAACCACTGGACCACCAGGGAAGTCCTGTAGAAACCTTTAAAACTTAAAAAAAATATATATATATACATGTATATATATATATATATATATAAAACAAAGAACATAGATGTTCTACAAGCAACCCACAACCACAGTTAACATTTTGGTGTACCCTTTCTGGTTTCTTCTCTAAGATGTTTATATTTTAAGATGATGGATATCAAAAGCACCATGTCATTTTTCATCATACTTTTTTCACTTCACATCTTGGTTGTGAGGATTTAATATCAGTGCCAATGAGAACTTTTTATGCAGCAAGTAATTAAAAAACCAACCCAAACTAGCATGAACGGGAGAGGAAATTCACTGCCTCTGTAAGTGGGCAGGCCCGTGTTCATCTGACTTCGAGCATCGTTCAGACCAGAGCATAACAAGTTGTCAGGGTTCCAGCTTCATTTTCTGTGGTTTCCTTGCTCTCCTCTTCTGGAGGCTTCCACTTTGTTCTTGGGCTGACTCCGCGCATGGGAGCAAAAGCAAATGTCATACTGATGCAAAGGATACGCATTTGAGCAATTTCCACTGCAGCTCTATTTGCAAATAAGCTAAATGCTGATTACTGAAGGAATGTTTACACTGGAATATCCATATAATGGAATTCTGTGCAGTAGTTAAAGGCAGCCCTACAGATACAAACGTATAAAAATATCCAAGATACAACATTAGGAACAATGGAGGTACAAATGGAGAGCAAAGTAGAGAACACTGGGAGAAATAAAAGATCATTTGCATGTATACGCACAGAGAGGCTCTGGAGGGGTGCAAGAAGAGGCAGGTAACTGTGATCACCTCTGGAAAGTGGGACAGGCTGGCTGGACGAGGACAGGGACTAACGCTGACTTGCTTTCCTACCCTTCTTCACCCCTTGGAAATGTTAGACCACACGCAGATGGCTGTTCATTTAACAAGGGTTGATGTTTTCAAACAACAGCTGCAGCACTATCCAGAGGAAGAGAGCATCTCTTCTCTTGGCTCCTTGCAAGAACCAGTAAGTTTCCCTCCCCAAAATCCCCACCACCTTTCTCCCGACTGCAGTGAGTCAGTCACTGGCCCATCCCTGACCTTATCGTGGCCGAGGATGGGATACTCTGGTGAGTGTAATCCAACCACCTAGACCTGAGGGGTGTGTTCATCCCTCCCCAACTGCACAGCTAAGAATGGACAGAACCAGGAGAGCGTGCTCAGTCGTGTCCGACCCTTTGCGACCCCGTGAATTACAGCCCACCAGATTCCTCTGTCTATGGGATTCTCCAGGCAAGAATACTAGAGTGGATTGCCATTTCTTTCTCCAAGGGATCTTCCTGACTCAGAGATCAAACCCGTGCCTAGAAGAGTTCCCTAAAAGAGATTCCACAAGTTCTCAGAAATGAGAGAGGGGAGAAGGGGTGCTGGGAAGGAACTCAAGAGAGTGTTCACAGAACTATCCATTTCCAAGTCTTAAGAATCACCATCTTGGAAATTCCCTGGAAGTCCTGTGGTTAGGGCTCCAAGCTCTCCCTGCTAAGGACCTGGGTTCAATCCCTAGTCAGGGAACTAAGATCACATAAGCCATGAGGTGTGGCAAAAAAAAAAAAAAAAAGTCACTCTCTCTTTTTCTTTTTTTTAAAATTATTTATTTATTTGGCCACACCAAGTTTTGGTTGCAGCACACAGGATCTTTAGTTGTTACATGTGGGATCTAGTTCCCTGACCAGGGATGAAACCTGGGCCCCCAGCATTGGGAACACAGGGTCTTAGCCAACTGGACTGCCATGGAAGAAAGACCAAGAACAAACACCATTTTTAATGGCTATCTTTTTTTAAAGACTATTTATTTTTTGGCTGCATTGAGTCTTAGTTGCAGCATGTGGGATCCTGGGGACTGAACCCTAGACTCCTGTGTTGGGAGCTTGGAGTCTCAGCCACTGGGCCACAAGAAGATGGACCCAAGAAGAGCTGCCATCTTTAACAGCTATTTTTATGTATGTTGGCCTTGTGCTTCCAAACCTGTCCAACATCCGTATCCCAGCAGTGGCAATGGGGAGATCTCCTCTCTAGACTCTCCCAAGCTACAGAGAGTAACAGTAGGCAGGCGGTAATAGAGGCGGTGGTTGGCTTGTGCCTTGAGGCTCTGCCCTGAAGCTGATCAGCCAATAACTGGTGATGGAGTGTTCATGGCCCCAAGTTCCATTTCTCACCAGCCCAGGTACAGATGTAGTTATATAAACTAGAATATCCTGTCTTTTCCACAGAACACAGGACCACAGGCCTGTCTTAGCCTTTACCAGCTGTTTCTGACCATTCCTGGGGTGTTCTCAAGTGACTCTGGGGCTCACTCTCACATTCATCCAGTCCTACCCCCTCATTGATACTTATTTCTTAGCCTGTCGTTGGCTCCAGCACTTCCACATTGCCCAGGGACTGGCAACCATGCTGACGATCGCACAGTATCAGTGTGGATGCCAAAGGTTCGTTCTTCTGAAGCCTCTCAAGCCACAATGCTCACCTCCCAAAGCAGCAGGCACATGCCTGTCACCCTCAGTGTCCACTGAAAATCCTTTGTTCCATTTTTACCTGCCTCCCCTCTTGGCCACAGAACCGAGACCCTAACTAGAGCCTCCTGATGTTTGAACAGAGGAGAGGCTTTGGTCCTAGGGAACCTGGCTTTCCATCTCACTTCTTCCCCTTAGTACCTACAGGGCCTTAGGTAAGTAATTTAAAATCTCTCCATCTCAGTGTATGCATTTTTTTTTTTGGCTGCCCTGAATCTTAGTTGCAGAATGTGGGATCTTCAATCTTTGCTGGGGCATGCCAGATCTTTTCATTGTGACACGTGGGATCCAGTTCCCCAACCAGGAATCAAATCTAGGCCCCCTGCATTGGGAGTCTCAGCCACTGGACCACTAGGGAAGTCCCGTTGTATTCATTTTTAAATCGGGAAAACAAACATTACAGAATTGTGTGACATTTGTTATGGAAAGAGATGTGTCCCCTGGGCCATCACAAGGAGAGAACTATAAACGTAAGATCAAACGCAAGAATTCTTGATTATAAAGTTTATACTATAGAATTCTTAGGAGGTCTCCTGAAATAAAATGGACATGTGAAAAAACTAGGACTTTGATATTTCCCCCCAGAAAATTGCAGATTCCGATAGTCACACTCACAGAAAGTGACTGCTAAAGCCAACAGCCCCCTTTACCAATCCATCCCACAAGCAATCTTTACTTAGCCCCTCTCAGGCTCAGCCAGGGAGACCAAAGGATAAAGGAAATTCCTGATAGGAGGCTGGGGGAGAAGGATGCCTTCATTAACTGACCTCAAATGCTCACTCTAGTGCCAAGAACATGAATCCAAAAATGCTGCACTTTATGTCCGTGTCCACACAGTTGTGGGGTCTGCTGCTCCGAGACCAGGGACTGCTGTCCATCACTTCCCTTCCCTGCTTTTCTAAATGGGGGCCTTTTAGCAGTTTTCCTCTCAGCACTGAACACTGGGTATCCTGAGGAGTGGGTAAATTCACTTTGGGTGTGTAAGCTACAGCGTCATGCGTAGCTACTTTTAGATGAAGAAAAGGCACCGTGAGGTGATCCTAAACCGCAATGGATGTTGGATGTGACCTGAGTTGTTCCCTTTGGGGAGGAGACCGTGAGTTTCTTTGTTGTGGAAACACTGCATCATGTGAGGTGAGACTGTTCCTGGAATTACATGTTGGAGGAAAAGAACACTGGCTGATGAGCTGCCAAAAGGTGGAAGGTAGTGGTTTTTCACAAAGTTCGCCCAGAAACCCTTTTCCTACTCCTTCTGGTAAGGAACCCCACTGAGCTCCCCAGCCTTGGTTCCCAAATCCTGGGGACTGCTCTGAGAAGAGGCATGTGACTGAGCCTGGCCTATTGGAGTCCTGTTAGAACTGGCAGAGAGGAGCCTTCTGTTACCCCTCTAGTCAGGGGGTTCTCAGAATATGACCTCAAAGTTTGAACCTACTGGCCCCTGACATACAGGAAACACTGACAAAGGCTGCCAATCGAATGAGAAGAAAAGCATGTTACTGGCCTCCAGCCTCTCCTTCCTCTCGGTATCTGGATTTTCGGTTGCAGGCGACAGAAACTGACTCTTAACCGAAGCATAAGAGGGAGGGTTATTGAAAGGATATCTGGTAACTCACGCTGGATGGGGAAGCTGAAGATCTGGGGCCAGAAACACGACCACGATGAGACCACAGATGAAGGAGGTGAACTGCCAAACAACAGACGAACAACAGACAGCGCTCTGACTAATTCCACCCTCACGTCCCTCTACTGGCCCCGCTGCCCCTGCAGGTTCCAAGACGGCGTCTTGGCCGCCGCCATCCCTCCATCCTAACTTCACGAGCTCCGGAAGCTCAGACCCAGGAGCCTGTTCTGATTGGCTGAGCCCACTCACATGACCCACTGGCCCCACCCTATTTTCCAGCGAAGGGGTTCAGTTCAGTTCAGTCGCTGAGTCGTGTCAGACTCTGCCACCCCATGGAGTGCAGCTCACCAGGCTTCCCTGTCCATCACCAACTCCCGGAGCTTTCTCAAACTCATGTCCATAGTGTTGATGATGCCATCCAGCCGTCTCATCCTCTGTGGGAGAAGTGAAAGTCTGTTGGTTTCAGCTTCATTCCTGAGAGGTGGGCTCTGCCTCCTGCCAAGACTTAAAGTGGAGACTTCCCAAACCTTAGAATTGAAGTGAAGTGAAGTCGCTCAGTCGTGTCCGACTCTTTGCGACCCCATGGACTCTACAGACCATGGAATTCTCCAGGCCAGATTACTGGAGTGGGTAGCCCTTCCCTTCTCCAGGGCATCTTCCTAACCCAGGGATGGAACCCAAATCTCCCTCATTGCAGGCTGATTCTTTACCAGCTGACCCACAAGAGCAGCCCCCCAAAGAAAAAAGGGTGGCCAAAAAAGACAGAGTGTCACAATTACATTACACCTTCTCCTTTCTCTTTAAATGTCCCACCCTCCCCCCTGGTAGTCTCAACTACCAATCTTACTTCTGTTCACAAAGACAATAAAAGTAATTGGAAGAGGCTCTCACAGGTTCCCATCATAGCTACCAATCTCCTCCCATGGATACTCACCCACAACTTAGCACCATACTTGAGCTCACCTCTCCCGAGCCCGTTGCCTTCAGGCTTTCTCTTCCTGCCCTGGGTCCCAGCTCCATGGCCCCTGCTGTTGGGCTTTCTCTGCCTTTTCCTGCATCTCCCCTCTCTACCATAACATCCTCTGGAACGTACAAACAGGCGCGAATCTCGAATCTTGAACACAAACACTCCCATGACCTCACATCCCCTCACCATCTCTTACCCCATGTGTCCTGCAATGCTCAGCCAAGGAAACAGCACTCCTGGGAGCAATGTGGGTGTTACAGGAACTAGATCTCACAGGAGTGGAGGGGAATCTGGGAGAGTGAAGGTCCAGAGGGAGCTGGATAATCAGAAGAATTAGGCATCAAGCTGCTGAAGCCCCTATATGTGAACATCTTAGAGTGTACAGGGAAATTCGAGAAACCAGACACATCCAGCTGCATGGGGGGTTAGAGGCGGGGGTGCATGGAGGGGTCTACAGGAAGATGTGCAGCTAACCCCGTGTGGGGCGGCAGCCAAGTGTTTCATCGTGGGGTTGGGTGCTGCGTCAGTCAGCAGGGCATCAGTCTGTGAGAAGAGCTGGACGTGAGCGGAGGGGAGTCTGAAGACAAGTCGGATCCCACCCGGTGCCTCTGCTTCCGTATCTCACCCTGATAGCCTTTAGGTATTAGTGGACGCTGCTCCATTTCCAGCTCTCAGATCTGCGGCAGGTTCCTCTTTTGGCCAACGCTCACCCAGAATCTAACAAGGATTCTGGGAAACAGGGGTCCCAAATTTAAGCAAGGTGACAACAGGGTCATCGACCACATCATGTTCTCTGATCTTCAGCGCCATAGCTGTTGAAGGAGCATGTGTAGTCTATCTCCTCTTCACTTTCCGAGGTCTGCTGAACCCACTCTGATCAGCCCTTCATCACCTCCATCAGAGCTGATCTTGGGGTCTTCCCTGGTGGTTCAGTGGTAAAGAACCCGCCTGCCAATGCAGAGGACACAAGATCCGGGAAGATCCCACCTGTCTCGGAGCAACTAAGCCTGCACGCTATAACTGCTGAGCCTGTGCTCTGGAGCCTGGGAACCGCAACTACTGAAGCCCTTTCGCCCTACAGCCCTTGCTCCACAACAAGAGAAGCCACCGCAGAGACGCAAAGGAGATGAGCCACACTCATCACAGCTAGAGGAAAGCCCGCCCAGCACCCAGGACCCAGCACAGCAGAAAATAAGTCAATCAATCAAAATTATTTTTAAAAAGCCGCTCTTATCAAGGTCACAAATGACAGATCTCTGTACTGTCTAATCTAAGGGTGTGTTCTCAGTCCGCTTCTTACTTGATGCTTCAGTATCGAGCAACGCAACTCATCACTTCCTTCTCAAAACACCTCCTTCCTGTGGCCCCCAGGGCACTGCTTGCTTTTGTTTCTCCTTTCACCTCACGGCTGCTTCCCACACGGCTTTGCTGGTTCCTTCCTTTTCTGACCTTTAAATGTTAGAATGCTCCAGGGCTCGGTCCTCTGAGTTCATTTCTTCCCCCATGCCTGGAGTTAATTTTTTTCCAGCTTTATTGAGATGTAATTGACATATAATGTATAATTCAAGATATACAGTGCTTTGATTTGATCCACTCTGAATTCTCTTCTCCAGTTGTGATCACCATGCAGGTGAGTTTATGCACTTCCATGAATTTAAATACTCACTTCCTTTTTAATGTTAATTTATTTTGTTTGACTGCATCAAGGGTTCATTGTGGCATTCAGTTCAGTTCAGTTCAGTCGCTCAGTCATGTCCGACCCTTTGAGACCCCCTTGGACAGCAGCATGCCAGGCCTCCCTGTTCATCACCAGCCACAAGAGTTTACTCAAACTCGTGTCCATTGAGTCAGTGATGCCATTACAACCTTCTCATCCTCCGTCATCCCCTTCTCCTCCTGCCTTCAATCTTTCCCAGCACCAGGGTCTTTTTTTTTTTTTTTCCAACCAGGGTCTTTTCAAATGAGTTAGTTCTTCGCATCAGGTGGCCAAAGTATTGGAGTTTCAGCTTCAGCATCAGTCCTTCCAGTGAATATTCAGGACTGATTTCTTTTAGGATGGACTGATTGGATCTCCTTGCAGTCCAAGGGACTCTCAAGAGTCTTCTCTGACACCACAGTTCAAAAGCATCAAGTCTTCGATGCTCAGCTTTCTTCATAGTCCAGCTCTCACATCAATACATGAGTACTGGAAAAACCATAGCTTTGACTAGATGGACCTTTGCTGGCAAAGTAATGTCTCTGCTTTTCAATATGCTGTCTAGGTTGTGGCATCAGGGTCGTTTAATTGCAGGCTATCGGATCTAGTTCCCTGACCAGGGATTGAAGCTGGGAGCATGGAGTCTTAGCCACTGGACCCCCAGAGAAGTCCCTTAACTACTCATCTTGAAGTAAGACATAGATAGGCCCCAGGCTGAGCAGCCACAACTGGTCTCCTGCCGATGGTCTGAAATGGGATGTCAGGCGGAGCACTGGGCCCTGGTTGGCTTCCCCAGCTCAGCACAGGCACAGAAAAGGCCCTCCGTGTGGGGGAAGGACCAAAGGAGAGAGAGATGCCTTGGAATCCATCTTAACTGCGAGATGCTCACCCACGTCAGGACCAAATATGAAGATGATTGGCCAGAGACAGTCCAGAAAATTGCCCCCATATAAGCAACCTAAGCCACTCCTGTGGCAGGTAACTCACTCCGGGTCTGCCCGTGTGTTCTTCCACACGTATGCTGCCTCTCATAAATGATTTTCTCTTTCACAGTTTTGGTCTCTTTGCTAAATTCTTTCTTCAAAGAAGACAAGAATCGAGATTTTTTTTCTTCCAGCCTTTCACTGCCAAAATCCATCTATCAAACTTACTGTTGGGCTGCACCCGAAGGCCTGCAAACCCTGTACTTGCCCAGCCTCAAAACCAAAGAAAGAGCCCGGAATTGGCAAAAGAGACATCAGCAGCGTAATGGATGAGGGACCCTACATGTCTGAAGTGAGGTCCTGGAGTGACACCCTACAGTGTGGGGCAGACCTCGGATAAGACAAGGTAGTAGTCTTTGCTCCTGGGGTGATAGATTGCAGTTCTGGGGGAGCTGATGTCAGGTTGGCTTATCAGTTATTGGAGAAACCAGCAGAAGAGCGTGCCCCCCACTGCCCCCTTTGACTCACTATCATAGCTGAAATAGTTCTGATCTGATTAGAACTATCACTGTCTGGGGCTGAGGCAAACACATAGGCATTTACTGATTGGGCTCCATGATCAAGAGGGAAGGTCAGTCAGGGGTGAAGTCTACAGGTGAAGCAAGCACTGGTCAAGCAGAATTACAGAGAGCAAGAGAACAGCCATCTTGTGTGGCCCAACAATACACCTATACATCCAACTCCAGCTTCTTTCCTAAACTTTAGACTCGGAAATCCAAATACCTACTTAATATTCCAGTAAATCTTGAATAGACTTTTCAAATTCACGGTGTTCAAAAACTAACTGGTCGTTTCATATCCTCCGTTATTTCCCCCCATTTTAGTAAGTGGCAAGTCCCTTTTGCCAGGTTCTCAGGCCAAAATATCCATCCCAGACTTCTCTCTTTTTTTCTTACACTCTACACCCAAGTCATCTGCAAACCCTGCAAGTTTTACTTTGTAACATATTTAGAGCTTGTTCACTTCAAATGTATTATTTAATTTATTTCTGGGAGGAATGGATGTGTGAATGAGCAGAGGGTACAGTCTGTGTGAAGGTACAGTGACAAAGTTGAGTTCTTCAGCCAATTTAAGTGTGGTTGGGGGAGGGAATTCCATGGCAATCCAAGGTTTATGACTCTGCACTTTCACTGTCAAGGGCCTGGGTTCAATCTCTGGTTGGGGAACTAAGATCCCAGAAGCTGCACCCTCCAAAAAATATTTTTTTAAGTTCAAAAAAAATTAAATGTGGTTGGAATAAAAGTGTACAGGAGAGGAGAGTGGTACGAAATCGGATTGGGAAGGCAGGCCCTTGTCTATCTAATGCTAAGCCCTTGCGTTAGGGTCTGAATTCTACCCTAAATGCTTGAAGATTGCTGAATGATTTTAAGAAAGGGAATGACACTGTCAGATTTATGTTTTCGAAAAACCTCTCTGGGGGCTGCGGAGGATGAAGTGGAGAGGAGCCAGAACTAGGCAAGAAAGCCACATGAAGACTATTTTAGTTAATTCGGTTAAGAAGTGATGAAGGCCTGAGATATGGCTGTGGGTAACGGGTAAACTTGTCAGATGTCCTCCATAAAAATACCAGGCACCACACCAAGCCTGGAGGGAGATGTCAGTTCTGCAAAATATCTGCTTAATGTAAACAATATCTTATGTATCAGTGCTAATG